AAGCAGAGATGTGATCCTAAGGTCACCAAAAAGGATCCCCTCAACACCTTGGCTGCTCCTACAAATTCTGTCCAGGTGAAGGAAGGAACTTAAACCAAGCAAATATGTATTTTTACACTTTCCACAAGATAAAATAAAGAGTTATTTTCTGGATTGTACAACTGAACCAAATTTCTCTAAATGGGTTACTGTTTATGGAAAAACTACTGGAGATATTTGTTCTGATMAAATTTGTACATTCCACATTCCTGTGATGTCAGTGTAAGTTTGTGTTTTTACTATACGGTTTAGGAGCTATAAGTCAGAAATGTGTTTATCTCCATAAGAAGTCACATTTCCAGATCCAGAGTTGTGTAAATGTTGTATGTGCTCAGACTGTGTGTGAACAGAAGATAATAATTATAAATGTGGTGACATGTGAGTGGACCTGCTCCTCTTTCTGTTTGAAGGGAACATGATAAAAACCCTGAGCTGTTCTTCAACACTCTACTGAAACTTAAAGAGCAGCAGCTCAGCTTCCATGTGTCGGTGCTGGGAGAGACGTTCACACAGGTTCCAGGTACACACTTCATAAATAATCTGTAGACACACAACAAACACAGTAAGAACACAAAGAACACACAACATCAGTCTTAGTTCCAGCGTTAGCAGGTTGTTAATATAAAATAATGATTTCTGACATGTTTAAGTGGATTACAGTCTGAAAGGTTCAGGACAGGTTTACTGACAGATCATTAAATCTGGAACAGTTCCCTCAGACCACCTGACATCTGGAAAGACATGGTTCATATATGATGGTCTGAGTTTAGACACAACAAAGTGATGAAGGTGTGTTTCTCCTCCTCCTCCTCCTCCAGAGATCTTCTCCTCGTCTCGTCGCCTCCTTGAAGCAAATATTCTGAACTGGGGCTTCGTGTCCAGTAARGACCAGTACCTGCAGGTGCTGTGTGACGCTGATGTGGTCGTCTCCACCTCCAAACATGAGTTCTTTGGTGTCGCCATGTGAGATCTTACTGCTCACCTGTTCTCTCTGCTCACCTGTTCTCTCTGCTCACCTGTTCTCTCTGCTCACCTGTGTTCTCTCTGCTCACCTGTGTTCTCTCAGCTCACCTGTGTTCTGTCAGCTCACCTGTGTTCTGTCAGCTCACCTGTGTTCTCTCTGCTCACCTGTGTTCTCTCTGCTCACCTGTTCTCTCTGCTCACCTGTGTTCTCTCTGCTCACCTGTTCTCTCTGCTCACCTGTGTTCTGTCAGCTCACCTGTGTTCTCTCAGCTCACCTGTTCTCTCTGCTCACCTGTTCTCTCTGCTCACCTGTTCTCACTGCTCACCTGTGTTCTCTCAGCTCACCTGTGTTCTCTCTCAGCTCACCTGTGTTCTCTCTCTGCTCACCTGTGTTCTCTCTCTGCTCACCTGTGTTCTCTCTGAGCTCACCTGTGTTCTCTCTCTGCTCACCTGTGTTCTCTCTCTGCTCACCTGTGTTCTCTCTCAGCTCACCTGTGTTCTGTCAGCTCACCTGTGTTCTGTCAGCTCACCTGTGTTCTGTCAGCTCACCTGTGTTCTGTCAGCTCACCTGTGTTCTGTCAGCTCACCTGTGTTCTGTCAGCTCACCTGTGTTCTGTCAGCTCACCTGTGTTCTCTCTGCTC